GTAAAAAAAAAAAAAAAAAAAAAAAAAAACAACAACAACAAAAGAATTGGTAAAGAATTCAGAAAGGAAATACAAAAACATTAACTATGTAAAAGCCTGTTTGACTTGCTGGTAGACAAGAAAATGCAAATTTTATTAGCAATGTATACCCTATGGCAAGGCACTACTAAGAGCCCACAACTCTGGCAGCTGGCTAGTATCACTGTCATCTTACCTTTGACACATAGTAACGATTAACTCCAGAAATTCGCCTATCTCTTTCCATCAAATACCACTGATATGGGAAGTGGGCAACCCTTTTTTCCTTCAAACAAAAGACAAATATTATTCAGTTTGTAAGGATGAGTTACTCGATAGATGGATCTTTCAACTTTCAAGAAAACACACGCTAGAAAAGATGCAATAATCACTGAAATAAAAGCCAAATTAGCAATAGAAGACCAGAATCTCCTATATAAAATCAGACCACTACATCTAGTTGGAACTCTGACTCCTAACATCATCAGTCTTTGTCTCTGTCTCTGTCTCTGTCTCTCCCACCCCCCTGCCAGAAATTTCTACTTGTTGCCTTTTGGGATCCCAAGAAAAGCACAGGTAGGTAGCTCACACGTGAAGGACAAACACAAAATCAAAAAGCAAATCGATTTACATTGTGGCTGTACTTTAGAAATGTGAAGAACTAGGAAGAGGGTTACATGAAAATGTTTTTTTTCTTTTTATTGAGTTTATTCGTACAATCTAGGTATACAATACAGTTATATTCATCCTTGGGATTCTGTACCTTTACATAATAGGTCTTGATTCTCATTTTTTCCCCTTGCCCCTGCCCTCCCTTCACTCCCTCCTCCCCTCCCCATTTACAAACACTTTATTTCCATTTTTTCAGTTTCTCATATTTTTTTCCTCTCCCTTATTACCTTTCCCCCACCCTTCCCACTTTCCCTACACCTTTAGCCCTTTACTTCCTATTTCACATTATTAATTATCTCATTAGGATCCTGTGTACTATTATAGTTTTTCACACCAAAGAAACTATTCAGTATTTCAGTTAAAGAGATCTCTGTATGAACATTAAAAATAGGGAATCCTAAAATAAAACTAAAAAGGAAAGTAAAAGAGAAAAGGCAATGATGTAACATTAAAATAATCCTTAATTCTGGAGATGAAAATGGTCCCTGAACATATTTAAATTGCTTCTTGCTCTTGTAGTCTTATCTTTTTTTCATTATTTAGAGAATACCTTATTAGTTTCTGTAATTAAACCCACATAGATACGACCTTACATATTTAGTACGATGTGTTACCCCTGTACACATAGAAAAAAATAAAAAATAAAAATAAAAAATTAACATTTCTAGACCAATATGGCTGTCCATTTCTGTACAATGCCAACTCAACACAGTAAATTGGGATGACTTTTTCCAAAATTGGCAGCACCGAGGGTTATATGAAAAATTTGATGTATGTGAAATAGGAAGGGCTAAAGGTGTAGGGAAAGTGGGAAGGGTAGGGAAAAGGGAATAAGGGAAAAGAAAAACATATGGGAAAATGAAAAAATGGAAATAAAGTGTTTGTAAATGGGG